ACAAAAATAGTTATTTTTGCTTCTGTTGAAAAAACGAAACATTTTTACTATGGTCATCGTAGAAAAATTTGTAATTGCCGATATCGTTCTTTGTTCTGCTTTATAAACAATTTTCAGCGCTAAGAATGAGGGTAGACTAAGGGCGATGAAAAGAAAGAAAGAAGGAAAAGAAGGAAACAGATTAAACGTTCTCTATATGAACTGTGTTGTGCAGCTGAATCTGCAGACTACCAAAAATGCACACTTCTAAATTTCCACTTTCATTTACGTAGAAATTTTTTTGATAACTGAGCCTACAAAAACAGCAGCAACAACAGCAACAACAGTAATTATGAAAAAAGTTTTTTTTTTTTAGTTTAGAAAGAAAAAAGTTTAAGTAAAATATAACTGTAACGAGAAGAAAATAGGGAATAATGAGGGCGAGGGGAGAGCCTGGAAGGGGGACAAAGAGCTAATATGGAAAAGAGGCAAATGGATGGAGAAAAAACTTCTGCTTAATTTAAGGCCGGCAACTTAATAATAATTAAGCGCTAAATTAAAGCATTTATGCGTAATATTCAAATTATTATAATAGTCAAAATATCTGTGTGTTGTTTAAAAGTCGGATAATTTGCAAGAAGGCAGGAGAAGAAAGACGAAAAAAGAAAGCAAGGAAAATTTTCCAATTTATTGCATATCATTGATTCAAAGCTCCAATTTTTTCTGTTGTTTTGTTTTTTTTTAGTTCTTTCCCTTTTCACCCACTGTCATCTCCATTTTTACTGTGCCTACTGTGTCATTATTGTTGGTGTTTGATTTAGATGCTTTTTTCTTGGAACGGGAAAAGAAGTTACTGTTTTTTTTAAATTCTTGTTCTTTTTTTTGATTTGACTTATTCTTAAACATTTTTATATAACTTTTCACTATTATTCTTCGTGAATACAAGAGAAAAGTGAAAGAACAATAAATTATTTCTTAGAACAGGTAATCTTCAATTGGCTCGGTAGCAACATTTACCAATACCACTCCATTGGACTTTATCCTCGATTGTTACGTATCAGATGCGGAAGACAGTAGCCGGTAATTTCAGTAGACTGACTTTAAGGCGTGTTAATTACTGCGGGTCATCAGATGGAAAATTGTGATGTAAAACCAACAAATGACTGAATGAATTGACGACGAAAAGTTTAGAAGAAGTGCTGTGACTGTTAAACTCTTAGTTTGGAAATTTTTGTACGGTTTTATATTACAGTGATCTTTCACCAACTGAACTTTGATTAAATATTTTATATTTCTAACTACCAACCCACTTTCGTTTTCCTCATTAAAGGTTGCAACAAAAAAAAAAAACCTTTTTATTTGGAAGATATTTAATACTAGTTTCTGCAATCAAGTTAGACTCTTCTGCTACTGCTACTGCTACTGCAGTTGATTTCAACAAAATTTTTTTTTAATTTCTTTTGTATCTATTTTATTATAAACGACAAAAAAAAGGTCTATTATTCATACACTAATTTAATAGATTTCTTAAGAAAGATTTTGTTTGTTTATTTATTTCTATAAACTAAGATTATTTGTTTACTTTTATTTTTCAATTTTTCTTCTCTGCTTTATAGACTATTATTATAAGTTTGACAACAAAAAAGCTCTTTTATTTACGATATAAATTAATGTTTTATTGGTTATTTTGACCTGATGAATTGCAGCAAAAGTATTGTAAATAACGAAGAAAAAAATCTTATTTTTTTTTTTGTTTTTGATCTGTCTTTCAATGAGGTCAACATCAGCAATAAACTTCAGTTAAACAGTTATTTTGTTGTTTTTCACTTCCAGTTTTTGATTGAATAAAAATAACATTTTCGCAAAGTTTTGTTTTAGCTGTCACAGAAGAGTTGGGAACAGTGCTGAAGATTGGTGGTAAAAATGTTGTAACTGAAAGACAGATAAATGGATAGGTAGATTTTTTTTACCTGTTGTTTTTATTGTTGTCATTACAGTTAAAGTAAACTATACTGAAGTGCAATTTGCTAAGACATCAAAATATCGATGATAACTAGAGACAGTCTAAAGAAGCTTTAATCATGCTCACTGCTGTTGACATTTTAGAGTCGTCGAACAAATTCCGGTTTTATTTGGTCAAACTTAACCGGCAACAGCCAGCCGGTAAAGTTTATTGTCGAAAGCCAGTCCTAAAACCTGTCAGCTTTTTTTAATAAAAAAAAACACTATTGTACTTTTCATTATCTGTAATCAACGACGATTAATGTGCTCATTTTATATACCATTGAACGCTATTTTATTTCACTCTTTTTGCCCATCAATTTAAATAAGTCAAAAAACTTGTCTATATCAGTAAAGACAAATAGTATTTGAATTAAATTGAAAGTTTAGTAACCTTCATTTGTATTTTGCTAGTATTACTTGATACTAATACTATTACTACTACGACAATCACTCCTACTATTACCAGCATCAATACTACTGTACCTAATTTCGCACTATTAAGCAATATGTTTCTAACCAGTGGTCGTATACAAGTTTGGTCAGTTGAACTAAGTTTTTGGTTTTGTTGTCTATCGGCTAAATCGACAGTTATAAAACTGTATCTGAAACATTACGTTAAATGTAATGCTACAGAAGAAGAACAGAAAACAGGAAGAAGAATGATTAGTTTTGTACAGCTATGCTAATGCTTATTGCTTATACTGTTTTTTCTTATGCTGTCAACTTTGGACTTTAAAACAATCTAATCCGTCTAAACTGAAATATTTTTTACCGCTCTGATAGTTTGCTCATTTAGTTTTCAGTCTGACTATAGGTTTTGGTAAAACGAATAAGCTTTACCTCAAACACAATGTATTATTGTAAATACCTACAGTCATTTGTTTACTCTTACTACTTTTTTTTGATTCTTCCGATTTTCGTTTATTTAAAACTGTATTTTCTTGCACCGGTTCGCGTAACTGTTACTTACCTGGATAAAGTAGTTTTTATGACACCAATCTGATGACTTTCATAGTACTTTTATTAACTATTCTGCTAGTGCAACTTGGTAACTGTTCTATTGTTGTTTTTGTTATTTTTTTATAAATAATAACTGACAACTTCCGGTAAAATATCACTGATTTGTTATATATACATAATTTTTCATTGGCAACTATTTAATATTGGTTTTTATCTTACCGTTTGACAAAATCTAACCGGAAATTTTGCAAATACTACGCTTATTCCTATAAATTATTTTTTGGTTACATTAGATACTGGGTTAGCCACTGGCTTTGAAAAAGTACTTCTTAACTGTTTTGTTTATCGAGACTAGCCCAGAAAATTGTAGACGACTGATACAAATTTATACTACTGTTTCTAATAAAAATTTTATTAACAAAATAGATGTTTGGTTTTGATTCTTTGTTTTATCTTTACAATTATTGAAAATAATTTTATTATACATTTTAATGTTACCGTTGTCTTTTTTCTTGCTTTCATTTTTGGTTTGTTAAATTAAAAGATTCATTTCAGACTGATTCTTAGTGTTTTAAGAAAACGCCACAATGATGACGGTGATGATGATGATGATAATTTTGAGATAGAAACAGAACAGAATTATCAAATTACTGTTTAAACTAAAGTTTCATTGTCAAGACAATTGATTTTTAGCAATAAAATGATAGAATCTTTGGGTGTACAATTGTTTCAATTGTATTCCGTATCTATAGGAGAGCAGGAGAAAAAATTCATTTGTCAAAATCAAGCAGTAACATCAGTTTTGATAGAAATCGTTGTTTCTTCACCATTTCTCCACTCGTTGCTTTTGCGTCTGCTCATTTTTTCCATGTTTTTATCCCTTTTATTAATTTATATTTTTCAATATTTTACTCAATAATTGAGCAAAAAATGTTTGCTAAAGTAACTTTCTATTTCAATATTTTTCTGACACTAAATGTATGCTTCGAGATGTATGTAAATTGCGCAAAAAAAAAAAAATTGGAATATTAAGAAATTTTCTGATGTTTACAATGTCAATGTGGACCCACTTCTTTTCATGCAACTAATCATAAATTTTACACTATACCGACTGTAACTGATGATAGTTTTCGATTTATACAGTTTTTTTCTTTTTTGCTTACTTGTATTTGTCAGACGAAGAATCAATTTGTTCGGTATGTGGCGTTCGACAATTGGAAGAACATTGATGGCTTAGCAAAAAAAAAGCTTTTTTGATAAAAGGTTGTTTTTTTTTTTGCGTGTGCTTATATGAAAAGTTTCATTCAGTTTCCAACTTTAATTCTTTTTGCTTCTTCTTCTTTGCTCACATTTTTTTCGGTCAATAATTTTACGCTTTTTTTTACAATTTCAACTACGTCTGTTTTGAGCCGATACTTGAACAACAACTTACGACCAGCTTAAAGTGTTTCATAAAAAAAATGTTTCGTTTTTTTTTTCTTGCTTTAATTGTTCGTGGTGGTGTTGTTAATTTTCCAGCATAAATTTCACCGATTAACCGATTCGTTGATAGACTTGAAAAAAACAATACCAAAAGTTTATTATTCATTTTATTTCCTGACAGAAAAAAGCACTTTTTTGTCGTTAATTGAGCTATTAGATTAGCATTGTTTTGCTTAATGTTTGTATCAAATCTGGTATAATAGTGTTGTGAACGTTTGCAGTGGACTTTGGTTACACTGTAAGGTATATCTGTTTAACAAAAATCGTCGAAAATAGTTGGACAGCCAAACAAACAGCTACTGCTATTGTAGAATCAAACAAAAATAATACTTTACTAGCGAGGTACATCTACATAACTTTTGAAATTTTTAATTTTTTGAATCTGAAAAGATCAAAATGAAATTTTTTTTTTTGGTGAGAGACAATTGGGAGAAAATTGCATAGACAAGTAGCTTGAAAAAAAAAAAAAACAAGAAGCATAATTTTCTGATGAAACAATGATGAAAAACGGTCACAGACGGAAAGCAAAATTGTTGATGTTGCAGATGCCAACGACGATATTCAATTTATCAGAAATGGATTTGCGTAATGTATTAAAACTGATGTATCCGGAAGAAAGCAGTGAATTTGATGAACTCGACGTACAAAAATTACGTAGTAAAATAACTGAATGGCTGTTAAAAAAGGGCTTTTCAACAATGCATAATTTCACAAAAGATTCTGACAACAAGTGGAAGTTACCGGAACAAAGCGACTGTGGATCATGCGGCAAATATAAAGTTGGAAACTTGAAAGGTTAGTGAAACAAACAGTAAATGAATAATACACAAAGATCACAATGCAATATTAAAAAAGAAGAAATTTTATGCCATCAATTATTTATCAAAAAAAAAAAATCAAAAGGTTTTCGCTTGTTTCTTTTTTTTTTTTT